ATCTCTGAGTCTGTACTGCACAATTAACAAAGGTCTTTGAATGACTTATGGTGAAGGACAGGTTAACATTCAGAGAAAATTGTTGCATATAACAAATATAGTTCTCAACTTATTTACTTAAGATGGAAATCAAATTCAATCTCTTTCGTATTGATTAGACAATGAAAATGTATAGCTAAATGACAATGTATCAATGCAAGACTTTCACAATGAAACATACGTTACAACAAAAATAAAAAGAAATTTCTTTATGCTACCTCACTAAATTTGATTCCTGTCTGTCCTAATTAATTATGATTTTGTGAAGGGTTACAGTCGATATTTTTAAACACATAAATTTTTGTAATATAACACAAAGGAACTTTATAATAGGAAACATAACCTTTTTTTTTTGAGGAAGATTCCAATTACAGGCCGATTATGAAAAAAATTAATATTACAACAATTTATCTTTCAAAAAAATACAGACCCCAACCCTTCACGAAATCAGATTTAATATTAATACAATCTAAACAGTAACATTTATATTATTAATAAAAATGCTCACTGCTCATAACTGTTTCTAAAATACAAAGAACTTGAGAAAGAAAAGAGATTACTTTGTAACCACACTGCATACAAAAAAATAGGTTAAATAGTTGCTTACCAGTTTCATTTTGGCTGCAGCTCTGTTTGAAAACATAATAGACCTTTCTTTTGGGAATGCTAATGGGCATGTACGTAAACCTAAAGTATAATTTTGGATTGATTCTCGGTAAGCACCACTTTTAAATTGATCATTTCCTTTCGCCTTGCATATGTCAGCTTCTAAACGTCGTTGCTGAAATTCAATAAAATTACATGTAACATTGTTTTCAATTCACTATTTCAGACAAAATACAAGGAAATTGTAATTGGGTGTGTCGCTGACCTCTTTCTCCTCATCCGAAAATGTATCTTCAGCATCTTTTAAACTTAACTCGTCAATAAAATCATCCAATTCACTCTTTGTGTCATCATCACCATTTATTGAAACATTCTCTTGGGTATCTACACGTTCATTGTCACGAAGCTTGCTAGCTTCCTGCTCATTTGTTCCAGGTTCCCTACACTTAACATCGTCTTTCTTCTCGCTAGTGTCATCGGATTTTTCAATGAGACAGTCTTTGACACCTTTCATAACCTCTTCTACTATTTCTTCGTTGGTTGGAATTGCTTTGGATGCAGGATTTTCAACATCGCCACACGACTTCTCTGCCATTCTGCTTTCGGTTTTTAAAGGTACTCACATTAATGATAGGAATGTTATATGTGTCTTCAACCAAGAGCTCTGTAAATACCCACAAACTTGGGCTTGACACTTTGCAACAGCAACTCAACAACTCATTGAGTCACATTCACTTACACTTTACTCTTTGGACACAGCCCCTAAGAATGCTCATGGGCTCGATATGCAGCGCATTTTACTCTTTGAACTATTACGTACTTCGCACCAAGGTGAAAAATAGGGAGTTTGTGGCGGGAAACCTTATTTTTACAACGTTAAGCAGCACTTGGCACAAAGCTCGACACAGCTCCCACAACTGTAACTAATGTATAGATTGCATTTAATATTTTGATATGTAAATGTTTTTATGCAAATCACTGTTTTGGTGCATTTTT